CCACCGGATATGAGTGTGATCCTGTTTGCTCCTTAACCATTTCTCATTCATGGCTAAGCCGTCCGATCAACTCGTGTTACTTGTTGAGACAAGTTTTTCTATGGAAATAGAGAACGAGAACATCCCATGCAAGAATTTAGTCAGGCAAGTAAGCCGAGCGATGAAATTATGTAAAATGGACAAGCTCTTAATCTTCACTATAGCAAACAGCTGTTTAGCTCTTCTCTCACTTTTTGTAAAAAAGGTTTAGTGCATTTCGACCCTTTCCATAGTTAAGGTCATAAAAGCTCAGAGTGCAGGTGATCCAGCTCTGATCACGCTGGTGAGCAAAGGCGCCATAGCCGCTGGGGCGTAGGTTTCTCGTAGTCCGACCAGTTATACTCAGAGTTTGTTCCCAAAAACCTAGCTCCTAGTCATTAACGTGAGAAAAGGGGGCAGGCACAAAGAATATTTGTAGGGTAAATATACTCATATCAGCCCCCGAGTGAGGCCCGACCCCTTGCTATTGCTGGGGTTGGATGTCACAAAGGATCGGGGGGTTTTGACAATGAAACTGATAAGAGAAAGTTTGCATTTATTAAGGGTAAAAGCGACGTAGTTGCTTGATGTTCTAGGCATTGGTGAAGATTTCGTCGTCGATGGTCCTGAGCTTGTAGGCGCCCGGACGGAGTACCTCTACAACTACGTATGGTACCTCCCACGGTGAGGAGAGCTTGTGGCGGTCCTTGTTGCTCTGTGCGAGGCGGAGGACTAGGTCTCCAACGTTGAAGGCTCAACCCCGCACTCGTCGGCTATGGTACCGTCGCAACGCCTATTGGTACTTGGCCGAGCGGAGGAGGGCAACATCACGTGCTTCGTCCAGCTAGTCCATGGCATCCTTGTGGGATGCCCTAGCTCCCTATTCATTGTACGCCCTGATCCTTGGTGCTCCATAGTCGAGATCGATTGGGAGGACGGCCTCGGAATCGTACACCATGAAGAAGGGTGTGTAGCCGGTGGCTCGACTGGGGGTAGTCCTCAGGCTCCAGAGTACTAAAGGAAGCTCGATGACCCAGCGTGCACCAAACTTGTTCAACTGGTTGAAGATCCTAGGCTTGAGGCCCTATAGAACCATGCCGTTTGCGCGCTCGACCTGCCCGTTCGTTCGGGGGTGCACGACGGCGGCCCAATCAACCTGGATGTGGTTTTCATCGCAGAATCGAAGGAACTTCTTTCTGGTGAACTACGTGCTGTTGTCCATGATGATGGAGTTTGGGACTCCAAAGCGGTGGACGATGTCGACGAAGAACAGCATGCCTTGCTCAGACTTGATCGTGGAGATCGACCGAGCTTCTATCCACTTTGTAAACTTATCTATGGTGACAAGCAAGTGGGTGTAGCCTCCGGGCACCCTCTTGAGAGGTTCGACCAGATCGAGCCCCCAGATCGTGAATGGCCACGTGATAGGGATTGTCTAGAGTGCTTGGGCCATTAGGTGAATCCGCCGAGCGTAGTACTGACACCCTTCGTAGGTGCGCACGATCTGCTCGGCGTCGGCTACAGTGGTGGGCCAGTAGAAGCCCTGTTGGAACGTGTTTCCAACCAGGGTTCTAGGCGTGGCATGGTGACCGTAGATCCCACCATAGATATCGCTCAGCAAACGCTTCCCTGTTCAATGGGGATGTAGCGCTGCAGGATCCCGGTGTGGCTTTGCTTGTAGAGTTCGCCCTCCATAAGAGTAAAGAACTTGGCGCGACGTGCGAGTCGTCGAGCCTCTGTATTGTCCATCAGTAGCATGTCACGGAGGAGGTAGTTGAGGTAGAGCGTCCTCTAGTCGACCAGAGGGTCAGGCTCTGTTGATGCGTCCTCTTCGAGCTCCATGACTTCGAGGCTGGACAGATCCGACGATTGGTCAGCCCCCGGGCCTGGATTGGATAGACCATCACCACCTTGTCCTGACCCCTCGTAGCGAACCGAGGGCTTGTGCTGGTCGCTGGTGAAGACGCCCGTCGGCACCGGCTCTCGGCCAGATGTTGCTTTCACAAGCGCATCAGCCGCCTCGTTGAGGCGCCTCAGGATGTGATTGAGCTCGAGACCGTCGAATCTTATCCTCCAACTGGTGAACTTCTCGGCAGTATGCGGCCATCTTGGCGTCGTGGCAGCTTGACTCCTTCATGACTTGGTCGACGACCAGCTGGGAATCTCCTTGAACGTCGAGGCGTCGGATGCCCAACTCAAGGGCAATGTGTAGGCCATTGATGAGCGCCTCATATTCGGCCACATTGTTGGAGGAGGGGAAATGGAGACGGACCATGTATCTCATGTGTACCCTAAGGGGCGACACGAAGACCAACCCCGCACCGGCGCCCTTCTTCATTAGTGATCCGTCGAAGTACATCGTCTAGTTCTCTTGATCGACGACTGCTGGTGGCATTTGGACCTCAGTCCATTCCGCGATGAAATCAGCCAACACCTGGGGCATTCGGGAGGCATACGCAATGCCCTGACCCATCAACTCAAGTGCCCATTTTGTGATTCTTCCCGTGGCATCCTGGTTTTGGATGACCTCGCCAAGGGGGAAGGACGTCACGACTGTCACCGGATGTGACTCGAAGTAGTGGCGTAGCTTCCTCCTGGTGATGAGGATGGCATACAAAAGCTTCTGGATTTAGGGGTAGCGGGTCCTCGAGTCAGATAGTACCTCGCTGATGAAGTACACAGGGCACTGTACTTTGAGGGTGTGCCCCTCTTCTTCCAGCTCCACTACCAAGGCTGCGCTGACCACTTGTGTGGTGGCCGTAATGTAGAGCAGAAGGGGTTTTCCATCGGTAGGAGGAACCAGGATCAGGGCCTTCGTTAGAAGTAGTTTGACCATGTCAAGTGCCTCTTGGGCCTCGGATGTCCATTCGAAGTGGTCGGCCTTCTTCAGAAGTCGATAAAGGGGGCGACCTCGTTTGCCGAGGCGCGAGATGAAGCGGCTGAGTGCGGCGAGGCACCCTGTAACTCGCTGTACTCCCTTTATGTTCTGAATCGGGCCCATCCTTGTGATGGCTGAAATCTTCTCTGGGTTGGCTTCGATGCCACGCTCGGAGACGATGAAACCAAGCAGCATGCCCCTCAGCACCCCGAAAATGCATTTTTTGGGATTAACATAGGCTTCAATGGTCCGCCCGATGAGGTCCCTAAAACCCTTGAGCATACAACGCTGGTATGTAGCCCCAGCGTTCTTCAGATCGAATGGCATGATGACGTAGCAGAATGATCCAAAGGGGGTGATGAAAGATGCCACGAGCTGGTCGGAATCTTTCATCGTGATTTGATGGTATCCGGAGTACGCATCAAGGAAGCAAAGGGTTTCACACCCCGAGGTAGAGTCAACTATTTGGTCTATGCGCGGCAAAGGAAACGAATCCTTTGGGCACGCTTTGTTGAGACATATGTAGTCAACACGCATACTCCATTTCCCACTCTTCTTTCATACAAGAATGGGATTGGCTAACCACTCTGGGTGGTACACTTCCCTGATGAATCCGGCCGCCAAAAGCTTTGCGATCTCCTCACCGATGGTCCTACGTTTCCCCTCGTCGAAGCGATGCAGGCGTTGTTTCACCAGCTTGGAGCCTGGGCGGATCTTCAAGGCGTGCTCGGCAACTTCCCTCAGAATGCCTGGCATGTCCGAGGGTTTCCATGCAAAGATGTCTCTGTTGGCGCGGAGGAAGTCGACGAGCGCGCTTTCCTATTTGGAGGAAAACGTGGCACCAATACGCACCGTTTTGCCCTCGGTGCTCCCGGGGTTTACGAGGACCTCCTTGGAGCCCTCCACTGGATCGCAAGATCATATCTAGCCTCTTCGCTAGAGACCCACTACATCGCAGCCAGATCGAGCGGTGTGGACGACGCATGCCCCCCCCCCTTCTCTCACCTGCAATGAGGACGTTGGCCGCTATGTCTTCATTTTGGTCCAACTTAAGATACTTTGACTCTCTAAAAAAAATAAAATGATTTATAATTTAGAATAGATGAAGTATTAACTTAATAAATCTTTTATTTAACATTTAGGGACCTAATTATCCCAAAAGAAGATTCAACTGTAAAGTTGTATACGTTGTCGATCACTACACAAACCCGGTTACCCAAACAAACTCTCAATGAAGCCCATTGACAGTCATCGTGTCGCGTGTCTCTTGTCCTAGTTCGCCACAGCCCAGGCGGTACGACGTGTACGATTGCTGGGACGGTGAGCTCGTACGACGATACGAGGAAGACCGGAGCTTAACCACAACACACGTGGGACAAAAGGAAACGCCACGTGCCGCACGTTTTCCCCAACGGACAGCCTCACGTGCAGGTACTAGTACCATCGGCCTGTGCCTGTGCGCACGCGGTACACCGACGCGCACGGCACACGGACGTCGACGGGAGCGGGAATGGATCGATCCGCGCTGCTGTCGCCGGCCGTTGCCCGTCGGCGTGCCGTGCCGTGCAGTAGATACACAGATGGAGGAGACCAGAAGGGTCCAACCACGGCGTACGGTGACCGCTTCATCATCACCACCAGAATTCCGTTTCCGCACAAGCTGCCTGCGCTGCACTGCGCGCCGCCGTGCCGGGTTTTTCTTTTGCATTTGCAGGAGGAGACAGGCGCAGCCGGTCCCCTTGGATTTGGATGACGGTGACGCGTCAGTCAGAGAGGATTTTCACGTCCATCACTCCGTGGCTTTTGACCAAACGCCCTGGGATTGCGACGTGGACCTGGGAGGCTGCTGCTCCGTGGCTTGTCAGCTCGGCAGCCTCCTGTACCATCAACAGGACTGGACGAACACGAAATCGTCGTATTCCGACCCCGACCACTTACCCTACTCTCCTCACTCATCACAAACGCATCGTCGAGAAGTATATATCCGAACACTGGATTCGGTCATCGGTCGTATCCAAACCAACCGAAACAAGAAACCTCCACTACTTCCGTTGCTACCAGACTCCGCGATCCTATCCGCGCCACGTACGCGTCGCTCATGGTCATGGCGATCGACGACGGCGACCGGAGCTACCCGGCGTTCGCGGGGGACGACGGCGCCGAGAGCGCGAAATCCATCCTGGACCTGCCCGCGGACGTCCTGGCGCTCGTGCTCCGCCGCCTGGACGGCGCGTCGCTGGCCGCGCTCGGCTCCGCGTGCGCCGCCTTCCGCGACCTCGCCGCCGACCCGGCCGCCTGGCGCGCGCACTGCCTCGCGCACTGGCCCTCGCTCCGCGACGCCGACACCGGCCACCACCACCACCACCATCAGCGCCTCTTCGCCGACGCGTTCCCGTTCCCCGCCGTGCCGGTGGCAGCACTGGCAAAGCCACCGACGCCCGTCGGCGCCGCCTCGCTCTGCGGCAGCCTGCAGCTGCCCGCGCGCCTCGTCTCCCGCAGGGCTTCACGTTGCCGTCGCCGGCGCCCATCGTCCCCGCCGAGCTCGAGCTCAGCTGGGTCCTCATCGACCCGGACTCCGGTCGCGCCGTCAACGCCTCCAGCCGCCGCCCCGTGTCCGTGGACCGGCGGTGGCTCACGGGGGAGACCGTGGTGCGGTTCGCGCTCGTCCTCGGCGGCGTCGTGCTGGACGCCGCCGTCACGTGCGACGAGCGGTACGGCCACGTCAGTGCCCGGGATGGGCTGGCCGTGGTGGCCGCGGCCATGGCGGGCGCCAGGCGGGGACGTGGCGCTGAAGATGAGGCCAAGGCGCGGTATGAAGAGTTCGTGAAAGGGAGGGCGCACAGGAAGGAGCGGAAGGCCAGGTGGGAGGGCATCATCGACCTCTGCTGCTCCGGCGTTGGAGCGGCGGCGCTCCTGGGGTTCCTCGTCATGCTCACATTCCGGTGACCACCACGAGAGTGTACAGCACAACTGCACGAGCAATGTAAATAGTGGAAAAAGGGAAAGAGAGCTATCGTTGACACGCAGACTCCACACAATACTTGTAAATAGCACGTACATAGTGCAATTTACAGGATACTACTGCATGTTTTAACAAGAATAGCATTTTAGAGATGGGTCATCCGAGCTTACAACTTAGTCAGATGACTCATTAGTCGTTTCACTAATGCTGATGATAATGATAGTTCCTACGCTATTCTTACAAGTTCATATATTTACGAAATGGAAGCTGAGCACAAAAAAAATAACACCAATGGCTCGCTCCATGCGAGACTGCCACATGCATCTGTGCAAACTGGTACTGTATGAAATTCCGTCGATTTTCAAACTCTAAAAAAAATGTTGATTTTGAAAATCTTCCATGCAAAATGTCAGACGGCACAGCCATCAGCCAATGTCCAGGAACCACCAAGGTAATTCACACGAAAAATATGGCATTTAAATTCCCTGCACAAGTCCTGTTTTACAAAATCCAGATGCCCCAGAACGGGCATCACGGAATCTAACATTCTTGGTACCCAGTTACATGAATACTATATGGCAATACAGTTATTTGGAAACCAGCAGGATAAATGCTTACAAGCACTGCTATAAGCACTCTACATTTGACAAGCTATACACAAGTTTCAAGAAATAAATAAATCATACAAAACTCATAAGAACAAAAACAAGGGGGCAATCTTTGTCACGGCGAGCAGCTCCATAAGACTATCGTTGGTTTTTGATAAACTCCATACAGACTAGTGAGCAGTCTACATGTGTGCATTTTGCAACTCACGGTATATCAAATCGATGAACTCGTCATTCTACATGTTGGACACAACAAGAGTTAAATCATATAGCAAATAAATATTGTTAAATTGCACAGTTTTATGCGAGGCATACCTGAACAAGTCTCTGGAGGGCATCCTTAACTTTATCCCTCGAAATAACAAGTGCATTGTGTGCAGGGGTCAGGGAAGGAGGTGGAGACGGTGGGGGGAAAGGTTGGAGTAAGGGAGTGCCATATGGAGGACGTTGAGCAGCTGTTGAAGTTGGACGAAGAGGCGGTGCTGTAGGCATCATGGATGAAGCCGGTGGTGCCACAGATGTTGAAGAAGGTGATGGAGGTGCAAAGAAAGCTGGTGTTAGAAGATTTGCAGAATGGCTGGCATGCGGATTTGTGTCATGGAGGGGAAATGGTGGAGCTGATGAACCCCCTAAATGATGAGGTATTTGATGTGTTGGAGTAGCGGATGGAACAATCAGCGGCACATGGGAAGATGCGACAGCCTCCGTCGATGGATGTGCTCTGGCAGCCATTTGTGCACTTGATACACTCCCAATGCTAGCAGCAGCCTGTGGATTGTTTAAAACAAAAGGTAAGTAGGCATCACGCCGTGGAAGAAATAAAATAATAGCCCAAACTATATACAATCATGACAAGCAAGAAGCAGTCTATGAACTATACTGGTAAACATGTATCAATCAGGATGAGGCAATGGCCATCATCTTGAGACTCCAGATACATGAAGAATATTTACTATTGACCACAACTTAAGCTACTGCAAAAATATATCAAATGAACTGAAAGGCATCATATAAGGAAACAGAGCTTCACGAGGCTGGAAGAGAACATACGTTGAAGTAATTAACCAGTGATTCTTCAGGTGTATCAGAAACTAGAGCAGTGGATGACAGCGGAGGTTCGAGGGGGCCATCTATAGCAGCAGATGTCGGAACAGCCTCCAGTTCTTCAAACTCGCTGTTGCACATTAGAAGATACTACATAGGTAAATCCAATATATTGATCACAACAGAACTTAATGTGGACAAATATTGCCCAGTGGATCCAGAAAGTCCAACAAAAATACCTTTTTGTGGCAGGCCCTTTTGGTTTGGGAGGCACTTTTGCATACGCATTCAGTATTCTGCAAGAAATGTACCAAACAAAATTTGAGCAAAAGGGAAAAGCTTCTGTACTTACACAGGTCATACCAGAGTCTCCTATAATAACTCTGACCCTAATGTATCAAATGAGGATTATTTACTAGTAAAAAGGTACCCCTTGAGCCAACTGCAAGGTATTTTGATTTGAACCGGACAAAGTTTACAAGTTTTGACCATGGATTAGTCAAATTATATGCATGTCTAACATATATAAGTTGCACCAACAGATTTGTATACTACAAAAATGCACCTTAAAGGATGGACAGAGGGAGTACTAGTTAATAGCGACACCAATTGATGTGATTAAGTTAAGTCTTTGCAAGAAATCTTAAGTTATTCCCAATATCAAAGTTCTATCATACAGCATATGTATGTATTGAAAGAAATAAGCATATATATGTACTGAAAGAAATACACTATCACATGAATTTCCTCAACATTTTGTGTCATTTTGGAATTTCACTTGTTAGGACCAAAAGACAAATGCATTTATTTTCTTTTCAACCCCCTCCGGTTTTCTTTTGAGATGGGCATACCACCTGCTTTGAGGATTGGGGGAAAACTGATAGCTTGAATGGCATATAACAATATGCATTATTCTTGATTTACATATCAAATGTATTAACTCCTTCTAAATGAGTGAATACCTTACATAATAACTATTTATTCACGAATCAGTGAATGCACAGAAATTTTGTTTTTTTTTAGAGAGGCTTAAGATTGCAGTAAATGAAACTATAAAACTGAGTAGTGATCAATTTCCAGTTATGAAGTTACAGAAACACCCCCATCCCAAGTTAGGTCCTACAACCTGTATACACACACTATAGTTCCACCTAGAGAAACTGCCTTTTGTTGGCATTGTTCAGTCCTATCATAGATAGTTAAGACTTAAGATCCATCCCTTTTCTCGCGCGATAACAGTATATCCACTTTCGAGTTAAAGTTCACTTGAATTAGACATAACGGCTCTATACCCACCAGCATAAGTGGAACAAGAAAGAGATACCTTCCAAAAAGGCTTGCGACAGCTTCACAGTCATGTTGGTTATAAAACCAAATACCATTTACTTCTTGGGCAGCATTTCGGTACAACAAATATGGTGGCTGAAGTTCGTATTCAAAATCGCTTAATAGATCCTCCACCAGATTATCTGTTGAGAAGACACTAATAAGCTTTTCAAATGAGGAATCTGGCAGAATGATCAGTTTGCCTCTAAATGTACCACTTTAACAGCACAATATGAAGATTGAAGAACTCAGGGGAAAAAAAGGTGAGACGCTAAGCACTAACCCACAAAGAATTAAATATCATAATCACAGAGCTTCATTCTTATCGTGCAGAATAAATAGAGTTCGGATTAAAGAATATCAGCATTCTGCTACTCAGAGGTCAAAGCACCTAGATCCCAGTACTGTTTTCTTTTGTTTTTGCCAAGAGTACACATCTCTGTGCTTAATGTTAACATCTACTTGCCAAAAAAGAAAGGAATCGATGCACAGGTATCTGGAGTACTTATTGAAAAGTTTCTCAAATGGATCAACTTTTTAAAAAAAGAAAGAGTTACTTGCCCTATTCATTGTTGTCCCTAGTGCCATTTTGTCGCCTTTCCTATTTGTACAAATTTAACACCACAAAATAAAGAACTAAGAGATAGAGCTGAGGTGGTAAGTACTAGCCCACAAAAAATTAAAGATTATACTCAAGGTCAAAGCACCTAATCCCAGTACCCTTTTCTTTTGTTTTTGCCAACAGTGCACATTTCTGTGCTGAAATGTTTACTTCTACTAGCTAAAAAGGAATTGATGCGCTGGTATCTGTCTATCTGGAGTAGTTATTAAAAAAGTTCCTCAAATGATCATTTATTAAATTTTTTAAGAGTTACTTGCCCTACGTCATTTTGTCGCCTTTCCTATTTGTACATGTTAAAAAAAGGGCGTACCCAGTGCAGAGAGCTCCCGCTCTGTGCGGGGTCTGGGGAAGGGTGTTAGTGGCAAGCCTTACCCTCGCCTGTGCAACGTGAGGAGACCGCGACTCGAACCCGGGACCTTCCGGTCACAGGCGGTAAGACTCTACCGCTTGCACCAGGCCCGCCCTTCGCCTATTTGTACATGTTAGTGGCAATGGTTTTATGGCGTCACCTAGGCGTCGCCTAGTCGTCGCCTAGGCGTCCCGGCGGTTTCCCAAGCGAGGCGTCCCGCCCGCCACGCCTTCCCCGCGTATGGCGTCGCCTGGGGCGGTATGGCGTCGCCTCGCGGCGTCGCGCGGGTAAGGCATCGCCTCGCGGCGTTCGCGCGGGAAAAAAGGGCGTGGCCCGATGCGCGCGCGCCTGTACCCCCCGTGCGGGCACGCCCCATCCCTGCAGCACGCCAATTGAAAGAGAGGAGGAAAGAGAGGAGAGAGGGGGAAGAGAAGAGGGCAGCACCTGGAGTCCGTCCGCCGGCAGCCCGGCACCTGGAGTCCGCCTGCTGCCTGGAATCCGCCGAGGAGGAAGTCCTCCTCTGCTCTGCTCCTCTGCGCCTCCTCTGCTCTGCTGTCTGCTCCTTTGCGACGCCCTCAGCCCCTCAGGTATATGCATATCTCCTCTCCTCTGCTCCTCCTCTTCTTTGCTCTTCCTTTCACCTCCTTTGTGCTATATAGCCATAAGCCATGTGCTCAGTCAGTGACCTGTGTAGTGCCTAGTGACCTAGTGCCTAGTCATAAGCCATCTGCTAATAATTTTTTGCTACTTGCATGTGCCTACTTGATAGTTGATATTGTTGATCTTTGCATGCAGTACCAGCCAACAGGAAAGAATGGCTAGTCTGCCTTCTATCAGCAATGGCAACTATGACCCAAAGACTGATAAAGCAAGGAAGGCCAAGTCAAATGATCCAGGCTGGAAGTATGGTTATTGGGCAAACCTTCAAAACCGAGATCAGGTGACATGTACCCTTTGTGACGTTGAGGTTTGTGGAGGGATAAAAAGGTTGAAGCAACATCTGGCAGGTGGCTATGGAGATGTCAAAATGTGTCTGAAGACGACTACTGCTATTAGAAAGGAGATGAGAGATTATCTGGAATCCAACAGGAGGAGAAGGCCATTGTTCTTAGAAGAGGGTGATGAACAGCAAGAGGAAGCAGATGTGGTGGTGCTGGAAGCAGGCGCAGCTGAATTGACTGAAGTTGGAGAAAGTGCACCTGAAGGATCCCAAACCTCCAGGGTGCAGCCAAGTTCAGGGACTGCAGCCAAACAAAGGCGTCCAGCCTATTTGTTCAAGGCTCCTGCAGCAAAGAAGACCAAGGAAGTGCCAAAGGGGAATAAGTCAATTATTCAAATGCTTCGCCCAACACCTGAAGAAATAGTTGATCAAAGGCGTCAAGGCTGTTCTCAACCCACAATTCCAGCTAAGACTAAGTCCAAAGAGGAGAAGCATTACGTGGATATGCAGTATTGCAGTGGGCATTGTGGTTTTATGAATGTGGCGTACCTTTAATTCAGCAGCTGCACGATAGTTTCAGATTGCAATTGAGGCAACAGCACAGTTTGGTTCTGGGTATGTGCCACCTTCTCCCCACCTGCTTGGAGAACCATTGCTTAATGATGCTATGAAATTGACTAGCAATGGACCTTCAGGGCTGGTTGAAGAAGACTCAGGTTCAGCCAATGAAGAAGAGGAAGATGACCATGATTCACATGATGATGCTGATGTGAGCGATTGTGAGGATGCTCCAAGTGGCACCAATGGTGATGGAGAGAACATGGATGCTACAAATGTCCATGATGAGTTTGATGATGGGTATTAGGAGTTGATTGCTTAGTTGGAATGTTTGTGTTAAGACTCTAGTTTATGTTTGTGGCTGTTATTTTGTTAAGACTCTAGTTTAATGTGGCTGTTATTCTGTTAAGACTCTAGTTTATGTTTGTGGAATGTTTGTAAACTGTAATGTGATTGTGGAGTGTGGACTGCTATTATTTTGGGCTTGTGTCCTAGTGTTGCTGAATTTCTTATTGCATTTGCAGCTTGCTGCTTGGGAAAAGAAAAGAGACTTCAGATCATCAAAAGGTATTTCACTTGAATGTTTGATCCTCATTTCATTTCATTGATGATTACAAAGCATTTCTGTTACATTATTACATTCATCACATGTTGAAACCTGCAAGGGAATGCATGCTACTTGGAACAAGCCAACAAGGGCAACTGGAAAGAGGAGGATCAATGGTACATGTGCTCCAGAATTGGCAGCAAAAAGGTATGTATCAGTGTATGTTTGTGCTACCCTATTGTAGGTTAGGCTATGTGTATGGCGTCGCCTACTTGAGCCCTTATTCGCCTTTGGCGTCTCTCAAAGGGGTGGAGTGCGCAGCAGCGTACTCTTACCGCCCGTAAGAACATTGGTTAGTGGTAGCATCACGGATGGTTTGTAAAACATAATGTTGGAAGATCCGATGTAGTCAATAATACGAGAAGCTGCAGCAGTCAGCCAATCAACGAAACCTTACATTTCTGAATTGCAGCAAAATTATTTAGTCCGCTGTAACATTTAGAGTTCTTATTAGGATGCCCTGAAGGAATGTTTAATCGTGATCCATACTCCATAGCCTAAAGGTCCCAATACACTTATGATGGATCCTACAAGCACAAAATGTACTAACCAGCACACAAGCTAACGACCAAAGCAACAGGCGAGGAAATCAGTGCAGATCGCAATGTGCTTACCAGTGTTGCGCCTGTTCATGACAATGAACTGGAACCTCGGCTGGGAGTTCCTACATGCGATCCAACAGGTTCCAGAAGCAATTAGATCACAGACGCACCGATGGAAACCCTAGAGTAGACCCTCGATTCCAGATCCCCGTGACTCACCTCTTGACGACGAACAGCGACCCTTCCACGTCCTTGCGGCTCTGCACAGCGCAAGCAAAAAACAAACCCCCGCATCAGATCGGGGTCGGATGGGATCAGAGGAGAGGGGGAGAATCGCTGGCTCACCCACTGGTTGAGGTCGATGTTGAAGTCGTAGAGCGTGACGTGCGCGGCGGTGATGAGGATGTCCTCGACGGCGGGGTCGAGGCGCTGGAGGACTGTGAGGTTGAGCATGCGCGTGGCCTCGGCGTCCATCGCCAGGTTCGGGGTCACCTTCCCCCCGTTCGCCTGCGGCGGCGGCGGCGGCGGCATCGCTGGGCTGGGCTCGGTCTCCGCGTGTTGGGGTGGATCTGAGAGTGGGTCTAGCTCTAGCAGGGAGAGAGGAACTGGGGGAGCGAGTGAGCAGAGAGACGCAGCAGAGGAGGATGTCTCCGGAACAAAATTTACAGCACCGTACACGGGAGACCTCAGTCCTCACTCCTCGTGCGTCGATCCTGGATCAAGATGGCAACGGGTACCCGAAACCCGAGTACCCGACGGGTTTTACCTGATAAGGACGTGGGTATGGAAGATATTTTGTACCCGCGAATACGTTATTGGACAAATTCTTGTACCCATCGGGTATGCGGGTACGGGTGTGGGTGTATACTACCCATACCCGCATACCCGCGGGTAAAAAAACCCGCATAAATAATATCCAACCTCTGCAATTTTAGCTCATATAAGCATATAGCTCATATTTGGCCCATATAAGCATATGAGTATATATATTCCAGAACTCTCTCAAACCCTAATCCTCATCCTCACTCTACTCCACCAGCCCATATTTCTGTTTTGCTGATCTATTGTTGATTTGTTTTGCTGGAAGTTATTATATTTTGGTGTGTGAACTCAGGTATATTGTCGGGTAAGAATTACCCGTCAGGTAAAAATTACCCATCGGGTGCGGGTATGGAATGAATTTTCTACCCGCTGCGGGTACGGATAACCCGACGGGTAAGATTTTGATCTGACGGATGCGGATACGGGTGGCCAGTACCCATCAGGTACGTACCCGTTGCCATCTTGAATCCTAGATAGACGTGGCAATGGATTAGTAAATCCAAAACAAATCCAATTAAAATTAGAAGAAAAAACATTCAGGTCTAATCTAACTCCAATATAAAATGACTAATGTCCAATCCGACATAATTTAATTGCGTTTGAGTCCAAATTCATCTAATATATCCAATAATAACAAAATTAGTGTAAGTACATGTTAATCCAATGTCAAAAGGTAGACGCTAAAGCTTAAAAAACCCGTGTCCACAACTTAAATTTTAGCAAAATTGACTAAAAACTTGTTGGAGATCACTCAATACAATTGCTTCCTACTTTATGCAAACTAGCAAGCATGTCCATGTTGCAACGGGGCTAAGTATATATGTAGGAATCAAACTTTGTATCATCGTTGGATGCGAGTTGTTCTAACTCATACGAGCACAGGGCATGAGTTCGGGAAATACACGAGATACGTATGTAGGACAGGACCCAATACGTATTTGTCGGTGTTTTGTAAACCGGACTAGTAAACTTATACGTTTGTCGCGCTGCACTAGAAAGACGATGGTAGTATCCAATAGACACAAGGATTTATACTGGTTTAGGCCAGAGCCCTACGTCCAGTCTCAGAGATGATCGAGTGTGTGTTCCTCGCTTGAATGCTCTGAAGTTCTTACAATGGGGGTACAAGAAAGGTGGAAGAGATGGAAGGACCTATGCTAGGCGAAGGGCTGCCCAAAGAAAAGCTCCAGGAGCCCTACTACAATAGTGAATGAATGGAATGGTAGAGGATGTGAATCGTCCCCCGAGATAGGTGCCCTGGCTGCCCTTATATAGAGTTCGGGGCCAGGGCTTATACAAAGAGGAGTTTCTCCCGACCGAAGGGTCGAGAGCCTAAGGGGGGGCCTAGCTAACTTGGTTTGCAAGCTACGCCATCTTCTGGTGCACGTCCGGTCATGGCTATCGTCATGGTCTTCTGGCCATGTTGCGGCAGGATGTGACGTGGCGCTACCGTGCCGGCCATGGTGGCACTGTAGCCTCGATGGCGGTTCATCAGCTGTCCTGTGCAACGCTGTGTCTGTCGTGGCCTTCATCATCGTCTCCTGGTTCCTAGGGGCGTCGTACCCAAAGTAGGTAGCTGCCCGAGGTCGTCGATCGCTTGGTCGCTTTACGGGGCCGAGGGCCACGACCCCGATCGTCGGGGTCGGGGCACTCTGCCGATCTAGATGGCCTTTTCATAGAGCCCCTTATCGTGTATCCCCATCCCATAATGGGTGGGATCGTACAAGCGTCTAGTCGGTCCGTATTTGGACGGTGGGTGTCGTACCCGTTGTCACCGTGGTGAGGTGTTGTCTCGTCGGTGCGGCATGGCACAGGGACGATGTCTGACCAGGCCGAGGTGACTGTCGTCCCCTCGATCCTTGCGGGGTCAGTGCGGCATGCTTGCTCTTGTTAAAGCAGGCGCGCCTAGCTACGCTCGGCCTCCCCCCATCCCTCCCGGGAGTCCTGACGGGGAGAGGTCATGCATCTTGCGAGCGCTGTGTGCTAAGGCGGATGAAAGGGGTCGGGGATGAACCCAGCCTGGGCACCTTGCTCGCTCCACTCGGCTTTCACTGGGCCTCGGTCGTTCGGGCCTTTGTTAGCCATTGTGTTGCGGACCACGCGGCCTGCTAACTAATCGGTGCCTTGAGACACCCCAGGGTTATAACCCTGACAGTAGCCCCTGAGCGTTTTTGCGATCATGAAGTGATCGTGAAAGCGCTGGTATGCGCGTGCATTAGGGCGCGGGCTCGTGATCGTGGCTTTTCTGAGCTTCGCCGCTCGACCCCTTGCTGGCTTGGCGTATTCAGGGCGGTAGGTGGACGTTGCGCCCCGTTCCATCCTATCGAAGTGGTACGTGATTGCTGAGCCTCGCCGTGTCAACGTACCGCTCATCGGGGTCCGTGACCCAGGCGGGGCTGTGTGGTCTCGTCGACGCTACATCGGTCCTGCCTCGGGGAGGTCTAGACTTTTCCATCCTTACGTGGGCATCTGTTACTGTCCGTGACCTCTCGTGGTTTGCCATGCGGTGAGGGGGTCTCGAGCTGCTCTGTTCTCCCTAGGCCCCCAGCTGTTTGAATCATACATTGTTGCGTCTACAAATCGTCTCCCACCTTCCTGCTGAGAGAAAGCAAATGGGAGAGAAAAGCTCAGGGGGGACCACGTGGCTCCCGTCGGGTGTTCCTTTCGGGGTCTCCTACAGTGACCGGAGCCGACGTCGCCCTTCCAACAATTGGTGCTAGAAGGGATTTTGCGAGTAGGGAAGGACCGGGGCGGTGCTCAGGCTAACCATAGGGTATCGTGATTCGAGCATTTACCCAGACCCGTAGGTCTCAGGTTGCCAGAGCATGAGAACCAAGGACAATTTCTAGTTTCTCCCCATACTTGTAGATGGCTTTGGAAAGCCGCCTTAAGTTCGGGGGAGGCGTTGCCGTCCCGTGGTGTCCCCTTCATGCTTTTCGAAGCATGATGGTGGTGGCCTAAGGGCTTGTTCCCGCCCCATTCTTTCTTCCCTGCGCGCCCCTGCCTGTAAGGCTGGGGTGCTACGGGGCGGAGTGGGAGGTGATTTCTCACCTCTTTTCCTCCCGCACTTGTAGCAGGCGCCTCCGGGGCCCCCGACAATGCTGCCCTTGCAACGATGTCGTGGTTCCATGCGTCTCAAGCGGCTCGACCGCTCTTGTACTGCCCGAAGTTGGGTGAAAAGAACGACCCTTTCTGTACATTCCCTTTGCGCCTATGGTGAGCCCCCGGGTCACGAGATCAGGGTCGTGATTTTCGGTTTGACGCGAGAAAGCGTTTTCTTGACCTCTTCCTTTGTGGTTGTGAGGTTTTTTGTGAACGTCCATTTGGCTCATAGGTCTTGGACCTCCGGGGTTTTTTCGTGTGACTGAGCCATGATCATGCTTTGAGCCACACGTCGCTTCTCGAGGAAGACTATATCGTGCTTCCCTGGCCATCTGCTTCATCATCCTCTCCCAGATGGGTCGTAGACCCTTGGCGGTTTATGAGTCTCTAGAGCTGGCCTTAGGTCTGAGACCTAGGACACAGGGAAGAGTTGGGTGGGATATGTCCCTGGTTCTTTTAGGGGTCACGGGGACCCGTCTCCATCTTTCCCTGACGTCCTTGCCAACCTCGAGGGGTCGCGATGAGTTGTTACAGGCGAGTTTGGTTTCGCCCCACGCGAGGATAGGCATGTCCACCATAACCCCGTGGTCGGAGCAGGGCGCCTCGTCGGGGTCTATGGGTAATTCAAGTGGGACCCGATATCCTCCCCAATCGACGTGGAGTTTGGCTATGCCTCACGTGAGACGTCCCATAAATCATCGGCCATTAATCTCGTTGGTCCCCAACCGCCTCCGCAGCGGCCAGAGAGCAAGATGCCTCCCTCTAGAGGGGGTCAACCCGGGAGACTTTGAAGCGGACGTCTCTAACATAGGGAGAGATGGTCATGTGGCTCCGCACCACTGATTAGAGCCACGGGGCCAATCTCCTCCTTGCCCCTATCCCTTTTGTGGCCTCGAGCCCTTCTAAGGGCCGGCCCAAGAAAAGGTTTCCAAAGCACGACGTGGGGTCATGGATGTGGAGGGTCGCTCGGCGTGTGAACCTAGGGGGTTGTCGACCTCCCCTAGCCACGTTGTGTCTTGGCGGTGCCCTCTTGTAAATGGTTGTGCGCCATAAAACATGGGCGCGTGAATCGAAAGATAATGAAAGATATGAGGCTTACTCGGGATATGCTACCATGTTGGCGTCCATCGCTCGGCCTTTCATCTCACCGCCTCCCCTGTGCAACGAGAAAGCGATTAATAAATACGATCAGACTCGTGAGTACTCCATGAACCTATGGTGGCTATAAAGCTGTCGGGTGGTACGACTGGTGAGGTGTTCATCTCGGGTCGCCTGCCCTATTGCTCGCTCATCTTCCCTTCGCGTGTCTGTAATTTTGGCCTCTGGGGTCGTCGGTATGGGTCATGGTAAGCGCTCTTAGAAGGAGTCATTGGAGGGCGGCAGGCTGCCTCCATGTCTTCGAGTCTTTCTACAAGAGCAGGGGTGAGTTCGAGGTCGATGTTTAGAGGTCGGGATTTTACCGGGGCTGATCGTGTTGCTTCTAGGGCCGCATTCCCCGCCGCATCAAGAGGGGCCGTTGGTGCTGCTTACGATGCGACCCCGTTGGAGGCGGGGTCGAACTCGCCATCCTTGTCGTCGTCATCTTCTTTGTTCGATCAACGTGAGTT